TTTTTTTCTTTTTTTTTTTTAATATTTTGGTGAATATTTTAAGGACAAGATGAGGGTTTCACTTTGTTTCAAGGGATCTTCTGTTAACTGTTATATATAATGTGTGTGGCCTAGAAATAGCACCTGTAACATTTAGCATCATGACCTTTTGATTGTGGATTAAAAATTAAAATAGAACACAAACAATTATTTAAAACTTAAAACCAGAAATAACAGAAAAATTCAGATTAAAAAGTTTTCCTTTTTCCCACTTGAGTAGGGAAGAGGCAAGGGTGATGGTACCCATCCTCTCTCCTCCTATGGGAGAACAAATTTTCGAGCCAAATCTCGTCGCGTGTTCTGCAAAATTCAGCAAGACACGATTGTAGCACGAATATTCACATTTCGAAATTGCCTGATGCTTTCTTTAACAACCATCAGATATCGATTATTTTTTGGCATGAAGATGATTATGGATTCTGAAAGGTTCAAGAAGATGGTTCGTTGTGCGATGGAAGTTTCGAAATAACTGTTGAGGACATGGAGAAGCATTTGCTAATAACTCCCCGATCAATTAATCTCGGCTGATTGTGAGAATGAAAACAAGAACCGGCAGGGCTTTTTTCTGCAGTTTTTCGCCATTTTGGAGAAGCATTTGCTAATCACTCCCGATCAATAAATCTCGGATGATTGTGAGAATGAAAACAAAAACCAGCAGGGGTTTTTTCTGTGAATATGCTTCTTGTAAGTTTTAACATCTTGATGAGAGTTACTGAATGCGTCGGGCAAAAAAAACGTTAGCACCATAAAAACAGAACAACATCGAAATCTAAAATTGTGCATCGACTTACACATACTTGTTCGCTGAACAAACCTCAGTGTACGATAAAAACGAAAAAAACAGAACATAAAACCGTTTTTTCTCTTCTGAAATTCATACTATCTCAGTTGCAAGACAGCCAACACATTACATTATAAATCATCCTCTCCAATATCATTACATTGACTCGATACGAATCAATCTCAACAAAAATACAAATCAATTTTTCGTCGTGCGAAAAAAAAAAAATAAGATGATAAAACGAAAATAGTCAAATGGGGTGGCAAGCTAGAAAGAACATATATCTATCTATCTGCACATCTGAGGATGGTGATGAGGTGGCGGTGGAAGCTTACGCTCATTGCTAACGACATCCACGTGTGACGAGTAGTTGATGAGGTCACGAATCTCCCCGGAAGAAAATCCGATCCCCTCGTCGTTCAACGAGACAAGCGATGATGTGGACGATGACCGTCTCATACTCTTGTTGTCCTCCATCATCTTGAGTATCTTCTCGAAAAGTTCCACCTGGCAGGGTAACTTGAGTACTCCCTCTGTCTGAAACCCGAATTCCTCCTCGGCTTGCCGGAGAAGAATCCCGAAAACTTGGTGGCTCAGGTACTCGGTCGGGATCACGAACCTCTTGAGCTCGTCTTTTCCTACGCAAACCGCAACGTAGCCTTTGGGGACGACCGATGACGAGGATGACGATGAGAAGTTTCCAGAAGTTTCCTTTTCTGAGAAGGAGAGAGTTTTCTTTAGAAACTTTATGCCGCCGCTTTTGGTGGTGGTGGTGGTGCCGGTG